AGGATGAGGCCCAGAAATCAGGATTTTAAAAAGATTCCCAGGTGATTCTAATGTGCAGCCAAGGTTGAGAACCACTGTGCTAGAGAGATGTATTTGGTCAGTGCTTCTCACTCTTGAGGTTGTGCATCAAACTCACCTGGAGGGCTTGTTAAACTGAACTCTTGGCCCCACCTTTAGATTCTGTGGATCTGAGAATTCGCATTTCCAGCAAACTCCCAGGTGATACTGATGTTGGTCCATGGACCCAGGTTAAGTTGAACAGCTGTAAACTGTTTTCTAAAAGACCATTTTCTGTAGTCTGATAACCCTTCAACTTCTAGTGGCATCATTTTTCTGTTTGCCAGTCAAATTTGGTTATCTTCCTTTTTCCCTCCCCTGTCCTTCTCCTAAGGCAGTGGTTCTCAACCTCCCTAATGCCGCGACCCTTTAATACAGTTCCTTATGTTGTGGTGACCCCCAATTTCATAGTTACAAATTGAACATAATTAAAGCATAGTGATTCATCACAAAAACAATATGTAATTATATATGTGTTTTCTGATGGTCTTAGGTGACCCCTGTGAAAGGGTCGTTCGACCCCCAAAGGGGTTGCGACCCACAGGTTGAGAACCGCTGTCCTAAGGTAAGGTAAGGAATGGCTAAGGTGACCCCTTCCTGTCAACTTGGAGTGGATGTATCCCTTATTCCACAGGCCCCATGGCTTGAATGCCTTTCTGGATAGGCATTTTGTTCATGGAGAATAAAAAGGCTTGTTTATGCCAAAACTTCTGAATGTCTCCTTTTAATATCCTGGAGGCTGGGTGAAAGCATCAGTAGACAAGCCAATGACCAGATGTTTGTGTGATTTGTTGTTCTCTTCTTGAATTCCTTTGTTGGAACCCAAAGTAGAAAATAAAAACGAAAGTGACATATGTCAGACTTTCAGTCTTGCAGACTTTTCTTCCAGCAGGATACTTCCCCTTGCTGTGCAGCCTGTTCTACCCTAGTGAGAGCTCACTGGTGGGGTGGGTTGAAGGCTACTGAATACTCCGTGGTGAGGCAAATGCCTGCCTTGTTATATGTAACTACATGTGATAATTATACCTTCCCAGGGGCACCCTGAATCCACCAGAAGGCTTCCCCGCCCCCCCCCAGCACTTACCATCTTCCTTAGATTTCTGAGTTACTGTATCCCTGCATTTTGGTATTGGATTCCCCTCATGCCCAAAGCTGAAACATTATAGAAGTAGCTGCTTATACTTTCAAGGTGGGGCTGCTCCCTGGGAAGTCAGAGGAAAGGGGGCCTTGGAGACAGGTCTGGGGGGTAAGCCCAGGATGAGGTGCTGCTGCCCATTGCTCCCCTGGTTGCAAGTTTCCTGGGGATCCTTAGAGTTTAGGAGAAAGAAAATTCACTTGAAAAGGAGATTTGAGCGGGCATGCCCCGAGGAGGGCACATCTATAGTGATTTTTTTTTTCATTGAAGTAACTTAAAGAGCGGGAGAGGCAGCAAACACCCAGGGCTGAGTGGCATAAGGGGGAGTCTTGGTTCAGCTACTGACTGCTTGCGAGGCTGCACATGGCCCTTAATATCACTTAATCTCAGTAAAACAACACATGCTCTTTATGAAGAGTAAATAATTGTATGTATATGAGAGCACATTGCAAACGAAAACTAACTCCAGTGTTATCTTAATTCTGTAGTTACAACCTTCTGATTTATTAACTAAATTTGAATAAAAGTATCTGTTTTATCAATTAGAATGCTCATGTTTTAAAGAACGTTAATTCCTCTAAGACTCCTTTTTGTTTTGCTCAGGAAAGCAAGTGACTAGATTTAAAGGCTTTGGCTATATTCAAGGGACTGATTATGTTAGGCCTTACTGCTCTCTTAAAGGAATTGTGGCACAAGCATGTGCTGGGGGGTGGGAGTGGCTGGGGAGAGGTCAACTGGTGGGGGGAAGGAGACATTTTTAATACTTTAAACAATAAAGAATTTTTTTAAAAAGGAAGTATGGCATAAACACATCACACATACAATAAAGCACTTAGGACTATTAGTCTTCTGAGATGGGTCTTTTCAGGACATGATTTCATTGACATTTGGCAAATCGTTAATCCTCATGTTCAAGGAAATTGCCTTAAAGATAAAAATATGCAAGATGACTGATTTGAGGGACATTACCGCAAAGCAAGGGATGAAGATTTGCAAAATGCAGTTTTCATAGAAGTCATTTGTATTCATGTAATGACTAACTTTTGTACTGAGGTGTTCATAGATTAATTTTCTTCTATGATTGACAGACAGAGGCAGAGAGATTTTATTACTTACTTTTTGATAAAAAGATGATCTGAAAATTTAGCATTCTAGTTACTGTCCATACCTGACTGTTAATGTTAGTTGCTGAAATCATGCCTCCTTTTACCATGAAAATACTCCGTGTTTTTTTTGGACATTATTTTTTTTTCAATTCTGACACCAATTTTATGTGTCAGACACAAAACCTGGAATTGGTCCAAATATAAGCCCACAACTGAGTCACCTGAGTGGGAACTGTATCTTGTATGACTTGCATAAGTGGTATGGAGGTAAT